TACCACTCGCTTGACTCAATTATCTGTCTCTATATCCCTCTTCAATCTGCTATTATTTCTCCACTTTATTTTCCGGACTTGTATACTAAAATAGAGGGCACCTAGAAAAGACTAGAGTTGCCAGGAACAGTCATGATCCTTCTAGAAACTCCAGCACGCATGCTTCCAGCGTCACGTGACTTCCGCTATCATAACAATAAAATATAGTTTTACTAAAAACAAAACTTGATATTCATTTACGAGGTTGTAGAGGTTATGCAAATGAAATATGAAAACTGTAAGGTGAAAGGAAGTATTTTTATTTTTAGCATGAAAATCACCTTTCACTCAGCCTAATTCAGTAAATGCTTCATAAATTCACAGACAAATAATTTTAAAAAAAATCTGATTTCTTGTGTAATGTTTATTAAAAGCTTCTCAAATTTGGTGAAAATAAACTTTGTGCATTTAGGGATATAGTATGTAGAGTTTCACAGATACACAATGGTTACAATGTTAGTTAAATATACTTTGTTCATATGCATAGGGTTAAATCAAAATGCAGATACAACAGTAGCCTGTGATCCACAGTATGTACTAAAGATACAGATACAACAGTAGTCTATGATTCACAGTTTAAACCATAATGCAGATATAATGGTAGTCTGTGATCCACAATTTAAACCCAAGATGCAGATACAGCAGTAGTATCTGACTCACAGTTTAACCCAAGATGCAGATGTAAAAATAGTCTGTGACCCACATTTCAAACTATGAGCATCAATATTATGTGAAATAATTGATTAATTGAAATTACTATTAACACAATGGAAACATGGGTGTAAAAGTGTGCATGTCATGACCATTTTACACAGCCATATCCAAAATTTAATTAAAACTTTATTATCAATGTATATCAACAAACTTCGCATCAAAGCATTGTTTATACTTCAAGTTTTAATTTGAAAAGGAAATATTTAAATTATCTGTTTTCATTTCTCTGTATCGCATGACACTTCTTCACTCTAAATTGCCAATTTTATCTCCACAACAAATTCCACAGCACTCTTGGATTTTCTGATCCCAGTCACTGGGTGACCCTGTTTACAGGGCACTTATTTGAGATAGGATTTGCCAAGTTTTGTCATCTTGCTTCTTCTCATCAATGTCGTCATCACTCTCGGTCTTCTTTGTGTTGCCTCGACTCCTGGACATCTGCCAAATCTCCATACCAGCCAACTAGCAGACACAAATTAACTCTGAAATGTCTTTTAGCCCCACAATTGCAACAAAATTTACTTTTTTTGCAAGCAAGGCAAAGGGGGATTTAATATCCCTGAACACCCCAGTTTAGGAAAGTTTATCTTTCCTTTAAAAACTAAATACTCACTAAGTTTTTTTGTTTTTTTAACAATTTTAGGTTTTCTTTCCACTCCTATATAATTTTCTGAGTGTATCACCAATTAAACACTTATAGATATTTCTAAACTATAATGTAAATTAATAGCTTCAAAATTCTTGCTTTACTGAGGTATAAACAAAAGACAAATCCACATGTCACAATCTTCCTCTCTTTCAAAAAATATCAGTAATTCTCTGTGATATTTACTACTGGATTATTTATAACCAATAGAAAGATCACACTATTCTTTCAAGATTTGTTAACAGGCTAGATCATTTATAAGACAGGTTAAAAAAATTTAATCTTAGTTTCATTGTTTGCTTTGTGGTGTTCTGCTCAACCAGCTAAACAAATTTTTTAACCTATTTATAGCTTAGTAAGAAAGCTAGTTAAATTATAGTAGTTAAATTTTTAGATTGTGATTATGTTTGGTGTTCTAAGTTGGATATCTGAAATAAAACTTAATATTTTGGACTACCACATCATTATAGAAAGTAGGGTTAGAGTACTTCATTTATTGATGGCAAAAGGCCTGGGTCCAGATGTAATAAATTTCTTATGTATTTCTTTTTATTCATTGTTATAAATGCAACCAAAATGTAAAAAATTAGGAACTTATTAGTTTAAATAATAACACATAAAGGACTACGGTAAATGGCTTTCTGTGTACTCTGTAACTATGTCTATGATAGCTGTAAGCAATAAAATTAAATGAACCCAGATTTGGTAGATCCATTAGCTTTGGCTGTAGGAATAATGGCTTTAATTTTTTGTTACAATAAACAGTCATTCTAAAAAGAAAAAAGGTAGTTTAGATTTTGTATCTTTTCAACTTTTCAATTTACCCATTACTGATTTCACTAAAAAATAAAATAAAATATAGTTTTACTACTAACAAAATTTGATATTCGTTTAGGTGGTTGCATAGATTAAGCAAATGAAATATGAAAATCTTAAGATGGAAAGAAGTATTTTTATTCATAGAATGAAAATCACCTTTCACTCAGTCTGCCCAGTAAAGGCTTCATAAATTCATGGACAAATCATTATTAAAAATCTGATTTCTTGTGTACAACAGACTAGTAAAGTTTACTAAAACCTTGTCACATTTGGTAAAGATACACTTATAAGTTCAGTTATACTTTGTATAATTTCATGGTTACAGTGTCAGTTGCATTAATTGACCCCATACACAGATGGTTAAACAAAAATAATAATAAGAAGTCATAATCTGATTACTCAAAAAGCAGGAATAATCAAAATCAGTATCAACAAGAAACACTAATGTCAATTAGTTTATTATTTTTGAGGTATTCATTAATTTAATCATAATTTCAAATAACTTTTATTGTAAAACACTGATTGATGTAAACAATGCTCAGAATAGAGTACAGTACAGACAGGTACATAACAAGTGAGTTGTACAATTAGCTAAGGTGATTTTTATACACATTTTAATTTTATT